CGTAGAGTTAGTGTTGCCTCAATTTATACAGTTTTGAACCCGCAGGGTGCTTCATGCTTTTTTTCCTGGAAAAGCCAAGAGAATCAATCAGTGAAAAGAATTGCAGGTCATCAGGCCTATGGGCCAACCAGGAACCCAAATTGGGGTCCCTGCAAAGTCTGGACCCTTCGGGCTCCACGCGTCCCCGCTGCAGATACTCCACACATGTGCTTTCCTGTTTAGACCAATGGCCAGCCAAGTCAGAACATATATGCGCCCACCATCTTATAACTGCATTCACACCCATTTGTTTTGCCAGCAACGATCGATAACACATTCCCCGGTCAGAATGGCCGACAGTGTTGTTCCACGAGCAGTTAGAAATTGGTTCAGGACGACTTATCCGACTCTAGTCTTCGAAGAAACTTGGCTAACACAGTGCTGTGAATATCTTCAAGTTGGTTTAGTCACTCTTAGGTCTCAGCTTTATCTCGATCAAATCTTCTCCTCAGAAATTGTAACTGATTTGGAGGGTTGACTGAATGACGCTGTGCATTTTTTGTTGCCGAACTCACGCGATCGTTTTCCACAAAAATCGAACAAAAAAAGCATAGACTCACTTCGACCTGACCCCACCACAGTTGATCAAAAAAATAGAAAATCAACTTTTGTTATCCGATTTATCAACCTCAACTTCTGCAGAAACGCCCCCTTTGAAGGACCTGTGGATACCTGAACAAGATGCTGAACGTCAGACAAAAGTGCAACATCTTCCGAACCGAGGAATCTTGGTGCAAATCCAGTCGATCACTGAGATCGGTCATTCGGCGCTTTCGCTTCGGACTGTTCACCAGAAACTCATAGATGATGCGCAAGGAAGAGATCGGGTCTTAGATCTGGAGGACCCGGAATCGCAGGACCGGCAAGCACCAATCCTGTATCCCAGGGCCATGCTCAAGTTTGATCTGAGTGATGGGCATCATACGATACCAGCAATCGAGTACCAAAAGATCGATGGCCTCAGTTTGGCTGAAACTCCTCTAGGGTGCAAGGTGAATAGATTAGGTTTCATCCAGCCTTACTCACAGGCTCCTTCCTTTTGGCTAACAAACAACTCAAATATTGTTTCTTTTGACATCCGTTCAAGTAGCTGTTGATTAAATCCGCCACGATCAGGCGCGGCCTTTTACTGCTTACCTCCGAAAACACTACTATCAAAGGCTTCCAAGTAGATGAATTAGATCTGAACCGCGATCGTATCCTTCAGGAAGGACTCAATGCGCGTTTAAGGTATGTCAGGAAACTCACATTGTGCAAGACTTGCGAAAAGAAATGAACACGTTACTCACCCACCTGGTTCGATCCGGATGTGCTGGATTTGATATTTATACAGCCGAGCCGCAGATAACCCAGAACGTAATGACGATCAACAAGCCATGAACCGGATTCCAAATGGCAATGGTGTCACAAACTCTTCGGCAACCTCGTTTCAATCCGCATCGATCGTCAATACGCATGACCCTTCATCAGTCACTCAACCAAGAGTGATTGTAGACCTGAGTGACTCAGATAACTACTTTGATGATAACTCGGACTTCGAAGCTCAACTGTTGGCTCATGATATTTAATCATCTCTTTTTTTTTTTGGAAGTCTACCCTTCCATCATCGTCTTTATTCTTGAAACATTTTTTTTCAATAACTCGCCGGCTCATGAACCTACTGCGAACCAATCCACTGATCAAAAAACCATCAAAAAATTCCTGACATGTATTGTTTTGCTGTCTATCTACTCTTCCTATAAATAACCATTGTCAGTATCATTACCTAGTCTTTCAGAGACCTATTGTAGCCTCTTGCTGGCTGGTGTGGTGAGATCTGTCTCTCTAGACTGAATTTCTTAAACCGCAACAAACACAAACTTATTGATTTGTGTGTATAGCTGGAAAGACCTTTGTCAGCTCTTTTTTGTATCCATGCGGAGATCCTCTTATTATATCCCTCCTCTCCTTGTAAAATCTGAAAGAGGTATAGCAACAGCAATTGCCAAACTAAGTGGATCATTCACAAAGGAATGAGTAAAGGGGAAATGTACTAAACTTTCTAGGATGGCAGTTAGCCCTTTGAACTTTCCTGCCAATGGGAAAGTTTGACTTTTTGAAATCTAGGACATGCACTCCCTTGCAGCACTTGTGACAGGATGAGTGGGCTGAAAGGGTTCCTCATACTGCTTCAACCTGTTCAGGGCTGAAATTCCCTTAACGATTCTGATGAAGCTCTCCAAATTTGAACAGATGAGGAATTTATCCTTTGGTCGATATTAATTGAAGATGTAGAATCCCAAGGTAGCAATTCTCAAAGTGAAGAGCCTGAAATACCACAACCTCTCAAAACAAGGAATAGACAGTGTCAGAGCAGTTCCACCGCAGACCCTAATTCTGGGCCGTTAAATTTTGAAATTTGGGTTTGCAAAGCTACCTTTACAGCCTCAAACTGCTGTGGCATACACCGCGGTTTGGAGGAGTGGTTGGTAAATCTTCATGACATGTGAGCTGCTGAGGGTGGAGTGGTGAGTTTCACAAGCTGTCATTGTGTGAAAGTGTAGTTTGGAGGCCGTAGTCCAGTCCACAGGAGTCCCTACATGCAAGGACTTGGGAGCAAGATTTAGGGACCACCGTTGTAAGACTCAAAAGTGGTTGTGAACCCCTTTTGCTGAATGGAGAAGGGGATGATGGAGTTGCAAGCTCTGCCCTTCTATGCTATCAGAACAACAAGACCACCAAGCTTAGCTTGGCAGTTATATTTATTGTGATAGAGGATAGTTCAAGATGAAGCTTCCGAGTGATGTGTATAAGGTCTGAAGTTATAAAAGAGTGATGACTATATTGATGAAGCTGTTGTTCAAAGCTTTAAAACCAAGGCACGGAGCTCTGAGAGCGCTGTGCTTCAACCAGTAATGGTATGTGAGGCAGGTTATGGGCACTTGGCACTTGTTATGATGATGAAAGTGTTATGTTTATATTTCAATATAATGTATTGTTATGGCTTTCACTTGTATATAATCTGTAATGTGGGTTGAGATGATCTGGTCCTCTGATGGGATGATGGAGGGAACAACTGGCAGGCAGAGGCCTCCTTATATAGACAAATGTGAGGGATTTTAGCCCCAGGGTACAAGCTTTTGAGGCATTTTAGCTGGCCTGAAGATTCAATGAGGGATTTTAGCTAGTCTAGTACATGCAGGTGAGGGAATTTGGCTGGTGAGAGCACTGCCTTGAGGGATTTTGGCTAGCCTACAAGGTCCTACTACAAAGTAATGCATGTGCACCTACAAAGGAATTCAATTGCACTATGAGCCAATAAAGGAATTCTATACACCACAAAGGAATATAATATTCAATATGCATCTAGTATTCAAAACAAGCTATACTGAGAGTAAAGAATCCAAAAGATATCCTGTGATAGGTTGAAATCTGTGTTACTTCTAAACTATGAGAGATATGGGGGTAGTTGTAGTGGGTGACTAGGGGTTATTTTACCTGAGAAATCCATTTCTGATGTCATTTTTACTATATATATAACATATAAAGAGATAATAATAAATTTTTATATTTTCTGTGTAGAAACACAGTATTATTTACCACACTGTAGATTTTAGCAACTGTGGTGGGTCCTGTAGAGTCCTTAAATTCCACATATGGACCCAATTTACAGTCCATGGTGGAGTTGCTCTCATCTCTTGGACCCTTTGTTAATAAGATGAAATGGATGATTATAATCACTCTTGATGAAAAAACTTAAGAATGTATTTCTTGTAAGCTTAAGATGAAAAAGAAATACATGTAGAGAAAAAAAAGAAAAAATCCTAACCTTAAGGCAAACAACAACATGACAAAGAGAATAAGATGCTTCAAGATAGATAGGGGACAAAAGAGAAAGGAACTGAACAACAAAATTAGATTTTTTAATATCCTGATTAACAAAGATGAGAAACAATAAGAGTGATGATTGAGTCCAACAACCTACAATGAGAGGATGACCAAGGATCAAAGAGATAAGGATTGGCAAGAAGGCAATATAGAGGTCAAGTTGGTGGAAAGTTGAGAGGAACGTAAGTGCAGACAAAGTTGGGTTCAGGAAGAAGATCTGTTGAGTTATCTATGTCACAGGTCTATTCTCATTTCCATAGCTACACTACTGTCTGTGCTTTTCTCTGATTTCACCTCTCACATATCACAGGTTGTGACAATCATCATGTTCTAGTTCTTATACTGGAGTCAGCACTGTTGGAAAGGATTCCTCTTTCCTCATCCTTTCCAACCGTTTTGTCTCCAGGTCAGTCTCTTCTTTTTCCTTTTTCTCTTTCTTCTCTTTTTGATGAATAATCCTTTCCAACCGTGTTGTCTCCAGTCTCTTTCATCAAGATCAAGGAATTTTTTTTATTTGATAGCAGAGGATGATGATGGCAAGGTAAATCAGACAGAGTAACAAATAACTGTAGATAGTGGATGATAAATTATGGTGATTGATGTGGTTATAGGCCACTTATAGCTGATAACCCAGAAATTTCCTCAAGGGAAAGAGAGATAAGTGAGTGCAGGAAACACCTTAAAAGTTGAAATGTCACTTGCTAGAAAGTGACATCCAGGAGGCTTTGGTGGAGCCTGTTGAAGTGTCAAACTCAGGCACTGCTTGTTACACATTGCTAGCAAATTCATTTGAGACTTCTAATCCGCAATGCAGCATTGGAGGCAATTATTTATGAGCCACATCATCATTACATTTTCACAAGCATACATCACCAATGTATGCAACATGAGCAATGTGTACTTAGCTCAATGGTGCTTATTTTACTAAGTTCTTGAAATATCACACTTCAAGGCCTGCAAAGATTACTCCAGCGGTGGGCCGCTACTCTACGCTACGCTTTTGGCCCAAAAAGCGTAGCATAGCGGCGCTTTTTTTTCATCCAAAAACCGTAGTGTTAGCGGTTTTTTAGCGGTTTTTTGCTACGCTACGCTACGCTACAGCGCTTTTAGCGGAAAAAGCGGCCAAAAACCGCTAAAAAGTGCTGTAGCGCAGCGTAGTGGGCTCTTTTTTGGGGCCCACACGCGTAGCGATAGCGGTGTTGTGGCGGAATCCCGCTACGCTACGCTAAGCGCTAACAGCAATTTCGCTGTGTTACGCTACACTAACCGCTACAGTTAGTGTAGCGGCCCACCATTGATTACTCCTATCCATTGAGACTTTTACAATGGTTGAGTTCTACCAATCCACACCTGTCTAGTAAAAGCCTGAAGGTGTTCAGAAAGACTGACACACACCCTTTCTTTTGGCAGGTGGGAATTCACAACAATCAAGAAAGAAGCCTTCCCTTGCTCTTTGAATGGTTTATTCACAGGCCAACCTGCCCAAGAAAGGGTATGTTTGAACACACACCCTTTTTTAAGCAGGCCCCTGCCTGGAGAGGTCCATGCAGTCAAACATGCACAAAAATGGGCCATTTCCCTTTTTTGTAGTGTGTGTGGGCAACAGTGGGCCGCTACGCTAACCGTAGCAGTAAGTGCAGTGTAACACAGCAGAATTCTGCTAAAATTTAGTGTAGTGTAACAGAATTCCACCACTTCCACACTAACGCTATGCATGCAGGCCCCTAAAAAGTGCCTGCTACGCTGCGCTAACACACTGGTCAGTGGCATTTTGGCCCTGTAGCGGCCCGTAGCGCAGTGTAGCATAGCAAAAAACTGCTAACATTTTGCTCACACTACACAACTTTGGCGCACAAAAAAGACCGCTACGCTAACGCTTTTTGGGCAAAAAGAGTAGCGTAGCGTAGCGGCCAGACATTGGTGTGGGGGTTTCAATTTCATCAAAAATTAGAAGGATTTGATTCAGAGTTATTCTGATTTTATCTAGAAGAGTATTTGAATGGTTACATGATTAGGATGATTGGTTAAATTCTCCAGCCAAGAGGAATTTTTTAATATGGTCCAATATTTACCATGCAGTTCACCCTTGAAAGGATTCACCCATTCCTTCTTGATTCAAATCTACTAGAGATGGTCAAAGGGTATCCATTGCGGATACCTGTTGTGGCATACCTTAAGGGTAGCCATCTGGCCCATTCAAAAATTTTACAGTTTTTTTCTTTTATTACACACTAAAAGAGAAAGTCAAGCAACTGGTGTCAGTTGACATGCAAGAGCTCAGACCATACTCTGCACTGAGCTTGAGTTGAACTCACACTTTTGTTGTACCTTGTTCTGGTCCACCCCTTTGAAGTCTCAGGTTGTATCACCAAATTACATCAGCACAATGACCTGAGCTTGCATTGAGGTGTGATTGAAGCTTGCTGCATGTCAACTGCTGACAGTTGCTTGACTTTTTCTTGTAGTGACAAATTCCATAGTTTTACACCTTTTTTTTCTCTTATACACACTCACAAATCTTGCAATATGGCTCAAGAACTGGATTCTATGGTCATTTTCACCCTTGGTCACCACTAGAGGCATCACTGGAACTCACTCTCTGGACCATCACTACACTCAATTACACAACTCACCACCATGGCAACACTTCAACACTCAACAACACCAACAAATTACATAATTCACACTACACACATGCAAGTTGCAGGACAACTACATAATCACACCACTATAGTGCAGGTAAACACACAACTACAATATATTCTGACACTTGACATATGCAGCTTCTGGGCTGGTCCTGTTGCTATGTCATTTGTTAATCTTCCTTGCAGCTGTCAGACTATATCACACCACTCATGTAAAATGCTTCACCAGCATAAAACCCTCATGTAGACTTCTATTTCAAGCTAAAATGACATCATGTAGGTTGCTCAACCAGCCAAAATACCTCATGTACATGTTCTGACTAGCTAAATCCCCTCATTGTAAATCGCTAAAATCTCTCATTCTCTTGTTCGCCTGAAGCTAAAATCCCTCACCTTTGTGTATTTAAGAGGCTCTCCTCTCAGTTGTTTTCCCCTCAGTTTAGTATCCACCTATTTCATACCCCCTACCCTTTCAAACCCTTACATACCATTACATACCATCCCCTTACATTGGAATATCAGCCAGACTCACTCTCTCACTCTCAAATCAACCTTTAGACCCTTATCAAACTGGGTTAAACCCTTTGTCCACCTGTTAAGCCACAGTTATCTTTTGATACACTCCACTATCACTTTATTAAACCTTCCAATCTGAGATTGGTGGGCTTGTCTAGTGTCTAGTGATCCAGGAAAGGCAGAGGTATCCTCATTCATCCCTTTCCACACTCAGCAAAAGGTTTTCACAAACACTTTTGAACTTTACACCGTTATCCACTGGTGGATACCCACTGGCCCCAACAGATACCCGCCAGCGGATGCAGATGGCCCCTTTTCCCCAAAACTCTGGTAACAAAGAGAGCAAAGGAAAAGCAAACCTGGGGCAAGCAACTGGAAATTGACCGTTGCAAGTAAGACACAAGGAGGAGAAACGACTAGAGAACTTGAATCATATTCATTTCTAACCTTAGGGTTTCCAAACAGAGAGTTTGGACAATCACATGAACTAGCAACAAGAGCAAAGGACACGCAAACATGAAGAAGAAATGATCATGAGAGAGAGAAGAATAGAGGAGGAGAAAAAGAGAGAGATGAAGCAGACCTGAGGCAAGCCAGCAGAAAATGATAATGGTGAGTAAGACACAAGGGAGAGAAAGGACTAGAGAAATTGAATGAGAAAAACAGAAACACAATGAGACTATTGAGAGACTATTTAACCATTCAATACAAATTTTCTGGGTTTCAAACCTTGTTCATCTCCCTGCTTTACTTGGCTGCAGCAATAAGCTCAACAGCACACTGTACAATAATTTTCCAATGGTTGGTTGCGGTTGGTGAGTCACCAAACCCAAAAGGCTGTGTGTTTTAAAAATCTATGAATGTTGAGGTTCAGCTGCAATTTTGGTTACTAAACTATGAGATGGCTTACCAGGATTCTATCCAGATACAGCCTAGACAAAAGTTGTACTTCATCATGTGTTAAGTCAAAAAAAAATCAACAAACATTTGATTGGGATGTGAACTCTGCAATTAGTCAAGAGTCTACTTATAATTTAACCCACATGCATGTTGAAGTTTATGCACAAGAGGTTCACGTACTGCTTCTTACATGTTTTGAAATCAGGAGATAGATTTAGGACCCTGGCAAGCCCCCCGATAAGGGGATGTTGAAAAAGTCTGGATTTTGGGCAAATTCAAACCTGTTTTCTGGGACATTCATACCACTTTCAAGAATTATGTCCAGGCAAAATTCCGCCCAAAAAGAAAGGGGTCCCCAAATTAATTCTGATTATGGGGGTTTAAATTCTGGATTTTACTGGTTTTGACTAGAGATGGCCCTGATGCATCCGGATATCCGCCTGCTTTTTCCGGGGAAATCGGCATCCGAACCTGCATCCGCAGCCGCTGGCGGGTATCCTCGGATACCCGCCCTTTAAAAGGTTGGTGAGGTGGTTCCTTCCAGCTGGCTGGAAGGGGTTCCTTCCAGTTGGCAAGGATGGACCTCACCGGCTGGAAGGGGTTCCTTCCAGTTGGCAAGGATGGACCTCACCGGCTGGAAGGGGTTCCTTCCAGTTGGCAAGGATGTACCTTGCCAGCTGGAGAGGTTTCCTTCCAGCTGGCAAGGTACATGTACCTTGCCGGCTGGAAGAAACCCTTCCAGTCGGCAGTCGGTGAGGTACATGTACCTTGCCAACGAGGTGGATGTACCTCTCGCTGGCTGGAAGGAAACCCTTCCAGCCGGCCATTAGCCTTGGGTATCTGTTGAGATACCCAGGTATCCGCTGGAATATCAGCAGAAATGGCACATCTGCACCCAAACCCGCATCGGCTGGCATGTATCCGCCAGCGGATAACGGGTATCCGCAACGGATACCCGGAGACCATCTCTAGTTTTGACCAGTTTCACATACCTAAAATGTGCAATCTCAAGAGCACCTAATTTTTGGCCCAAAATGAAAATTCATACCTTTTCCAAGGTTCTTCAAGAGTATGTTTTTGGGATTTTTGCAATTTTAGCATACCTTTTTCAACACCTCCCTATTGGGGGGCTTGCCGGGGTGTTGATAGATTTTGCACCTTTGTCTTGAGAAATGAAGCTCCGAACGGCTTTCTCATCTGGCATGAACGATTGCAGTACCCGCATGCCTTGCATATCCGATGCATATTTGTGTAAGACGCTAACGGCAGAGTGGCAAGTCAACTATCTAGCAAGCAGATTGAGAGCGGTTGCGCGCACAAACATTTCAAGTGATGAAGGTATCCATCGAAATGGGGTATTCCGAAAAACTAGGACGATGAGACTTTGCAAACAATTATAAATATCCAAATATTTCTGCTTGTATGGAACCACGTCTCATTTTTGGCCCGGAAAGCAAGCTCCAGGAGAGATACAAATGCTTGATGACGAAGGAGCTGGACTATATGTCTCAGCTCAGATAGACAAACGTCCCGGTCCATACATTAATGATGATGAGTTTCGAGAGCTGAGTGCTGATGATGCGACAGAAAACTGCAGAGTGTTGTACAACACAATTTGCTCGACCCATTTTCAAGTTGATCTATGATCAAGAGGTTGCACAGTTTGGCGGGATCAAGTGGCTCGATGCCTCCTCGTATGTATCTCACAGGTCCCTTTCAGAGTCGACTAGAAGAGTTGCTCTGAGATGGTCAGTGTTTGGTCTGCTCATGGAAGTGCGGCCGGCTACCCGATTGGATGGCCCAAAGATGGACTCGTTAAAGACTCAAGATGCGACAGAGGTCGAATGTCCCGTAACCTTGACTGAAGGGTTTGGCAGCCTTGAGGTACTAGGAGACGCGTCGCCTCGTTCCAGAGGCACTACGTGTATGCAGTGCCACCAGGAACAGATGTTTCAAAAAGCTCTTGAGACTTCACATTCGACTGCGAGCAATCAGAATTAACAGATTCTTTAGCGAGCTATACATGCGTATGTCAAGAATCTACCCGCCTTGTGCTCACTCTTAAGCAACACAAAACTCCTTGCTTGCGTTATACACGGTGATCGGAGAGCGTGAATTGGCGATATTCGAGTTCCCCCCCGTCTATCTCCTTGCTGAGCAGACCGTCGCTGGAGTGCTCTAGGTCCGGCTGACTTCCGTTGTATGACCGGCACAAAGAGAAGAGCTGAGACCACCTCCGTCCGCCTCACTGTTCCAACGTCCTTCAAGCCCGCATACATTCAACAATTGATCATCCTCCCACACAAACCGTTCAGCTCGGAGGCTCTCAGAGGAACAAGCAGTCACGGCCACCAACAACTGAGGCTTATCGTCTGGTTCAAGCGTTTCTCGTGGAATTCCGGCTAATCGTCGTCCTAGCTCGACAACCTCGACAACCCAGTACAAATGGTGGTGGGCATACTAAGGCTCAGTGTCTTTTTTCGGCTCAAATCAATGTCCAAACCTGAGGAAGATTCCTAAACATGTGCTTCCAAAGATTTACGGTATGGACTCTGTAGGTCTATGGCATGTCCTTTATCCAAAAGCTGCTCTCCTATCAGTTGCCTTTGAGAACGTTTATCATCCAGGCTTTGTCGAATCGTTTTTCGTCCGATACATAGTTCCCAGACTTGTGTGTCTCTAACTCGAACCGATTGCTCGAATGAGCTCACGAGGATGTTGCTGCTCCCCCCCGTCAGTGTTCAGGGGCTGGTGGTGACGTCGGTACTGTATTCTGGTTCAGCCTTCGGGAAGCTCCAGCAGTAGAAGCTCTGTGCGCAACTGTAGGGCAAGCTCCTCCCTCTCCTAATTATTCTGCCCCTGGCATTTATTCTCATCCCGTTTTTAGTGGCCATGGCAACCCACCACGCATGAACCAGCTGGTTGGGAGCGAGTAGACCGGGCTGGACTGGTTCTGTGTTCTTAGAGAGGACCGGCTCAATCGAAGACTGAAGGACTTCCTCAGCTGAGCTCAAGCACAGATCCCCAGACAATTAATTTTCACACAAAACATCCATCCATGCACCTGGGTGTCAGTCGTAACCAGCCCGTGCTCAGGAAGAGGATAATAGCTGGATTGGCATCGTTTGCAAACAAATTAGTCAGACATAGACATACATACAGTTCAAGGTTGCTGGCGAATGTATGGACCAACAACCGTAAAGCTTCACATCTTCTCGGACTGGCCTGACCTTTCACCCCCTGAGCGCAATCAACTGAGCAACGTTACTTTCTCCCAAACGGATTGCTTATATATTCCGGCTATCCCCTCCAAGTTCCAAGTTTCCTTAACCAACCATCATCACATTCGCAGTTTGCTTTCGGGATAACAAGCTTCACACAAACTACCCTCCTGTCAACCCAATATTCACCAGTTAGAGTTGTTCATCGATCTTCTCTGATATATATAACCGGCTCTCGCTTGCCATTAGATAGAGCTATCCACACTATTTAATTCTCTCCTCCATCCCAGTTTTACCGGTCACTTGGCCCGATACAATCATTTCTTACACACCTTACACCACTCATCATGAGATTTCAACTTACCACCCTCTTCACAGTCCTTGTGTTTCTGATCTCCTGCAGTCAGGCTCTCGAGAGTCCTGCTAGTCATGCCGATCTCGAAGCCCGCGATATCGATGAGGAAGGCTACATGAACCTTTCCGTGGGTGTTCGCATGAAGAGAGACGAAAACAACGACTCGACTCTGGAGAAACGTTCCGAATCGCCCGCATCCACACAACTACTCCTCAAGAGAAACCCTGAAACCGGGAAGATGGTCTGGCCAGGCAGTTTCTCAGAGGCACTCACGATGGCCAAGAGAGACGTTCCTGAGATGCTCAAGAGCTCTCTCCATCGTCGTACCGCCTTGGCCCGAAGAGCAATGAAAGTTGTGTTAGTACCCCGGTCTTCAAAAGCTGTCTACTCTCTAACTTTACGCCCGACATTGATATGATCACTTATTTCTCTAGAATCACTTGGTACACTGGCCACGATCTTCTTTACCCGTCATGCTTCGCTGACAGCGACAACTGGGCCCCCACTGACGACTCCATGGTTGCCGCCGTTACCATTGAAGTGAGTGGGACCATCTGAATTGCACCGTGCCTTTCCTTGCTCTAAACCCATTTGATGTCTCTCCTTTCACAGTGGCCCGGGAAGCCTCCATGTGGCAGCTTTGTCAGAATTCACCACGGCTCCAGAAATCCAAATCTATTGTCGTCCGTATTGTCGACACATGCGCTGGTTGCGCAAGTGGCTCGGCACACCTTGATCTTACGAAAGCCGCTTTCGAGAAGCTCTACGACGAGGACGTCGGCATGGTCGCAGGCTTGAAAGCCAAGGTCATCCCTTGTCCCTCCAAAATTGAGCAAGACTGGAATGACGATGTGGTGCGTTTCCATTCATCCCAGACGCCATAACCTCAATAATGTGCTAATGCTCTTGTCTCCTTTCCCATTCTGTCCACAGATCAGCCGATACGGTCCCAAAAAGCCCATTCGCTAATCTGAACTTTCAACCTCTCCTCACGATGCGCGACTTTTCCATTTATTTCTCAGCTCGATGAGCTAAGTTTTTTCGGAGGCTCGAGTCTCCATGTTGTTGTTTATAAACTTCGCGTGTATCACTGGCATGCCAGTGATCTTCTACCTTTTTTACTATTTTGGGTGCCGGGCCTAGGCTTAGGATTATTTCGGGTTCTTTTTTTCTGGTTAGTTAGTTTAGTTATCTTGGGCCAGCGACATGTACACATTCTTTCACACATTGTCCTTGGATGTGTTGTGACTAAATATCATACACTTGAACGAGAACAAACCGAGGATACATACCTCAATCTTTACTTCACATTATTTCATGTCATATATGCCACCTTCTTTTGTCCTCAACTCCACTCTTATAAGCTAGTAATGTTATCTTGAGCCTACTTTTCAATCACACAACTGAATCATTGAATTCCACAGTCTGGATCACACTGAAGGAGACAAGCTATCTTTGCCATCATATTTCCCTCATTGGCCGACCGCTCAGGTGCAGCATGAAGAAGAGAGGCAGGCGCATCATTCTAATTTTTTCCAAGTCACATTGAAAGTTACAAGACTTTCTAATGTGGTTTGCATCCAGCCTCAAGTTTACGGGCCCTTGACTTTTGGGCCCTCCTCAGAGGGCGTTTGCTGCTGTTTTAATTATTTTTCAGGTAGTCAAGTTCGACCGTGGGATCTTGATTCTCAAGGAGAGCCCCCTCGCCTTATGCAAGACTTTCCTTGCAAATCATTCGGAACAGTTTGAACAAGGCGCGCCGGTCCGGTTTCTGCTCATGAAATCGGCAGTAAATGGGATGCCCTAATGCGTGTTGGGCGATCTTACATACATAGGTATTCATAGCAAGACCCTTTAAGAGCACTCCTCTTTCCTCTTCGAGCGTCCATCGTCTACCATCGCAAGAGTCTTCTTATCACGTTTCCAGCGGGCATCACGCATTAATGGAGCGAGTGTCAACCGCATTCACCAATTTGAACAAACAAAATTGTTGTAAAGGATGCATTGCCTTTAAAACTTCGCCACTTGTCAACCTGCCAACCTTCTCTGTCGCTCTTGCAATTTGGCATCTCGCACACGAATGAGGAGCTTGTAGAAGTTCTTCACTGATTCCAACCCCATCCTTTAAGCTGCCAAGCTCAGCTCTTCCTGCCCTAGGCATTCATCGTTCTGTTTTTGTTTTCTTCTCATTCACAGCTTTTTCCAGCATCGCAGCTCTCCAGCCACCCGAGTTCCTCCAGAACGGTATCTTATCTTTTTTTTTTTTCTTTTTCAACTGAACCCCAATTCGCCATGAGAGTAGGGTTTCCCGCTGCTTTTGCAGTCCTTGCAACAATCATCTCGTGTACTTGGACACACGACACCTCTCCTGTTAGCCGTTCCAATCTTGAATCCCGCACCACCGACGACGAAGGATGGTTCGATTTATCAGTATCTGTCCGGATGAAGAGAGACCAAAGCAGCTCGAGTTCACCGATAGAAAAACGCTCTGAATCGTCTCCCGCATCCACACCCTTGATTCTCAGAAGAAGCCCCGAATCCGGCAAACTAATCTGGCCACGCAGCTTTTCAGAGGCGCTCAAGATGGCTGCGAGAGACGTGCCTGAGGGCATCAAACGCTCCCTTCACCGACGTACAGCCTTAGCCCGACGAGCAATGAGGGTTGTGTGAGTGCACAAATCTAAGCCAAGTCCTCGAAAATCGGCCCCAAGTTAACGAAAGATTCTTTAGGATTACTTGGTACACGGGCCAAGATCTGCTGCATCCGGCCTGTTTTGTCGACAGCGACAATTGGGCACCCACGGACGATTCGATGGTTGCTGCTGTGACGATTGTCGTAAGTAGAATGATGAACAAGTGTACCCTGGACCGGCTCATTTTTACTTGCTTTAACCTGACAAAAAACACATTCGACAACATCATTCCAGTGGCCCGGCCAGCCTCCATGCGGCTCGTTTGTCAGGATCCAACACCATTCCGACCCGAGCAAACACATCCTCGTCCGGATCGTTGATAAGTGCGGTGGCTGTCCGCCCGGTCAACCCCACATCGATCTGACCATCGGCGCTTTCGAGAAACTCTATGCGCAAGACGTCGGCTTGGTTGAAGGCCTCAAAGCCAAGGTCGTCTCTTGTCCATCTCACATCAATGCAAACTGGTCACAAGAAGTGGTCAGTCTCCCAATATATAACCCTACAAAATCTCAAGAGTTTTCCCAGTCTTGTGTCCAGTGCAAACCCTGAATCTGTGAATCCTTTGCACAGATCGACATCTATGGGCCCAAGGAAACCATTGATCATCATAAATCGTCAAGCAAAACTGAAGCCTAACCAGCCTGGTGGTCTACATCCGTTCATCATACACGCTCAGCGCCACTTTGCTACGCGCCGTTCAAGCTATCGTTCAGATTTCCTTTTTTCTTTGTCACTCATTCATCCTTGCTTACTACTCCCAACACCATAGTTTGTTCTTTCACAAACGGACCGCATGATGCACAAGCGGCATCATCATTTCCCCCTTTTTTTCGTTATTGTTGAATTGGCTCTGAGTTACTGAGTAGGACTAACTTACTCCTGCTACCGCGTCTCTCCATTCAAGCCGTGATAAACTTTGTCTTTTTACATATGTTGTTACAAGTTAGGGACAGTTTAATACTAACAGTCGGGGAAACTTCTCCTCCACTCATCATTGCACCTGGTTGATAGGATAAATCAATGTCTGATCATCAGATAGTTAAACTTGGTTGAGCTGACAAAATCACTGCTTCTGGGGATTGAAAGAAGCGAAAAAAAGCTGGGAAAATGTGAGCATTCCCAAATGAAGAGAAGGGCTCTTTCCAGTGATCGTCCCCCTACTAGTCTTTCCACAAAAAGCACCTTGACGTTTCCCGGAAAGGACAAAGATGGAGAGGGTGCAAGAAATGGGGCAGTTGAAGCCAATTTTCCCATGAACCCTCTGTCAGAATACACAGCTTCAACACCATCCCAGTTGACCAGGCCATTGAGAGTAAATTGATGTTGGTCAAGGGTTCCAAGACCGTGCCAGAATTTTTAACATCTTCCAGGCTTCGTCCACCGATGAGTCAATAATGCGCGACGCGGTTCTTGACCCTTGAAGCGGAATTCGCGGAATTCACTTCCTTCCGAAGAAAGCACCGGTCACGAAAAACATATGCATCTAGTCACGTTAGGTCGATGGCATGTCTTCTGCTATCACTTCGAGTTGTCAGTTTCTCAAACAACGTGCCTTTAGTATATGTAGGCTTATGAGTGCTACAAGTCTCCTCAAGTTCCATCTTTTCTGAGGGAACAACTGTCAACCACAAACTCACATCGTTCAGCCTCATGTCCCGCAGATATTGTTTGACACGTCTATCTCGACTGAACAGGGCGAGAGTGTCGAGACGAGAAGGGATAGATCATGGAGCAGTTTGGATTACCAAATGAAACTGGCGACAAAAGAGCTGATGATTTTAACAGTTTTAGAATTGAAGAGAGGAAACGAGAAGAAAAGAAAGAGGGCTTGAGCCCGTCACAGGGCCTGCGTAATTTTTGAGCTAACGAACATGAGGCTACACGTAGAAGAAATAGATTGAGCTATCTTATAGTCGCACTACATGGTAACGGGAATCGGATCCGATCACAATCTTGCCTTGATGGTAGGCAATTTTGGGGTCTACCAAGCGCCACCGCCGCCGCTGGGAGCATTGTAGCTGTTTTGCTGATCGCCTCTCCAGTTACCTTGGCCTTGGCCGCCATTGCCGTAGCCTATGAGAATTGATCTTGATAAGCAGGGAGCAGAGAGAAAAGGTTAAGTGAGCTGCAGGGCACCGAAACACTTACCACCACCGCCACCACCGTACGACTGCTGAGTGCTATTACCATAGCCTCCTTGGTCACCACCGTAGCCTCCTCCTCCGTAACTGGAGTTGTATCCACCACCACCACCTCCCCCGCCTCTTGATTGACCATAACCTGACACAAAATTGAAATCAGGACGCTGAATAAGTTGATCATGGGCTGGTTCGCTTCACTCACCTCCGCGATATCCACCACCACCACCTGTAAAAGAGTAGGACAAACGCCGGGTTCAGTTCTACGCAAAAGAAGGAAGAAGCAAATTGAAAAGGATGTACCTTGTCGTTGGCCACCGCCGCCGCCACCACCACCACCGGTTTGGGAGTTGGCGTAGTTAACCTGATAAGCAGACATATAGAATGCTCAGATTAACCAAATCAGCAAGAGTAGTGCTCAACGGTAACAAGTGCATACCCGAATTTCTCGGCCGTCAAGCTCCTGACCATTCAGGGCTTCGATGGCTCCAGGAGCAGCGGCCTCTTCTTTGAACTGTCATCGGAAGTGGGTAGGATGCCGTAGTAATCAGTAAGCGAATTCAGATCCAAAGTTGAAACGTGTATGAACAATCGGTTCTCTCAAAGAGTAGGTTAGAGTTCCAAGGAAGACTCGATGCTACCCATGTTCTGCCCCTCCGAAAACGCGACCACACAAGCTCTGAAAATAGCAAGGACACGCGATCACGGGCCAGAGGAGGCAGAAAAGAAGTACCCACAGGTAAGGAGAATGACTCCAAGGCGCAAGCATCTTTCAGGCGAGCTGAGATAGCGCCTGTATATGAGTTGGAACGAAAGCTGATGGCTCCAAGGTGGGTGGTTGATGATGGAACAAAAAACTAAGGAGAAGGAAGTAAGCTCACCGTGATGAAGCCAAAACCACGGCTTCGGCCGGTTTCACGATCTTGCATGACTGTGATGTAGGTTCAAAGATATGTATGATGGTCAGCCGGACAGGAACTAGTTCACCGATAGACGAAAGCCCATCTGGAGGACAAACCGATTGCATCGACTGGGGTGAATAGGCACGAGGTGAAAAGATAGGCAGCGAGTTAGTGTATAAGAACTTGAGCGAGTGATCGAGAGAAGCGATCGGACTTACCAACGTCACCAAACTGGCCGAATGCAGACTTCAGGGATCCGGAATCGGTCGTCCAGGCGAGATTGCCGACAAAAAGCTTGTTACCACCGGGAGGAGAAGACATGCTGGATAGGGTGCGAGGATGGAGGATGGAGCTCAAGACACGAGATGAGGGCTTGAATAGAGCTCTCAACATTCAATGGGATGTGTGAGAGGAAGAGGAAGGTCTGAGACTGTAAACGGTCAGATGAGAAAAGAGGACGGTCAACAGGGAAAAGGGGATGATCAGTTGGACTGATCGGAAGGGGGTGAGCAGAAGAAAAAAAAAAAAAAAAACAATGCTGGGTGGGTTGGGAATTTATTGGCCTGTCAGAAACTGAAAAAACTCTTGATGGCCCGGCTTATTTACAGATTTAAATCGCCGAATCCGGGCCGGAAACGACGTTGTGAAAAAGGGAGGTGCATCGGATTGGAGCCACCACACCGCCATCTCAGCAACTTCAAAATAGTGGTTGCAGTGATCGATCAGTTAGGGCTATGGATGGGCTGAGCCTGAGGGAGCGAGTTCCATCTTGAGCAATGTATCACATGTTTAGGGGGAAGGGGCTCTTAAAATGATTAGGTAGAATAACAAAAAAGAACAGCCAACCAATCTGTAATATCAGCCCTCATGCTCAACCTGCTGGGAATATATTCATTGAGGCTGAAATGATGTGATGATTGAAAAAGCTAGCAAGCTTCTGGACTTCAAAGAAGATGTGATAATTTTCAGAGCAACATAGTCCCCTAAGCCCTTATGACAGATACCACTTTTTTTGTTATGGTTTCACTCCATGGGGAAGTTGTTTGGATATCTGGAGCAGTGGACTGTTAATGGCAACATCATTGGTCCAACTCCCGTCAACAGGAGCATCATGGGGCCAGAATCACCTAATTCTAGTTCCAACCCAATCAAGCCTACTATGAGGAAGTCTGTAAACTTGATCAAGTCCCTCCTGAGTCCTGGCTGCATGATGTATGATTTGAGCTTGCAGAGCAAAACTCCCAAGAGGTGGGGTCCAGTAATCAGGATTTGATTGTCTGAGAGGAACTGGGGTGAAAAACCAAGTTTTCTAATTTACTTTGTTGGATTTTGAACAATTAATTTTTTTTTTTCAAATTTGATGAAAAAAAAAAAAAACTAAAAAAAACTGTGACAATGAAAGAAACAAAGGAAAAACCTCAACCAAGAATAAATCAGAGAGATGAGAAGAAGGTAAAAGAAAAACCTACATTCAGTCATTGGGGACTCAGTACCACTCCCAAAGACACAAAATTTATTTGATTGCCTTTGGCTTTGAGTAACATTGCTGCCAAGAGAGTTGACAAAACACTTGTTGCTGGAGTAGCCAGAAAGATTTGCATAACCCATCTTGGATACAATGGAGAATAAAGGGAACAGTGGTGACAACTCACACATTCATGCAATTCTGGAGCCAATGCAGATCAAGTTTGAAAAGTACTGGACCAACATGAAAGAATTTTCTGCCCTGATTACAATTTTTGACCTCCTCTACTTCCACCTTGCTAATGAAGAAAGGGAGGATGCAGCCACTGATGGTATCAAGCAGCTGATCAAGAAGGTGTTTTTTGGCTGGCTTACTAGCTACACTAGCAATATTAGTAACACCAGCACAGGGGACTCATTCACCAATCTTCACTTCAGTGCCTCAACAAGAATCCAGATGTACTGCAAAGCTGGACCTCTACCTTTGAGAACCACTGGTGTATTGGGTGCTGAAGGCTTCTTCACCAACTGACCAACCCCAGTTCAATATTCTTGGCTGGTGGAAGAGCCACAATCAATGTTTGCCCGACCTCAGCCACATGGCCAAGATTCTCTTGATGGTTCTGATCACTTCTATTGGGCAGCAGACTCCTCAACAACTATTGGAGCCAAATTTACCTGGGAAGACAATCATCTGTGGCCAGGCTTGTTGGTGATGACACTGTGATTTCTGATGATGTTTCTACTACATAGAATGGAACAAATTCCTGCAATAAAAAATCATAGAACAATCTGAATTGTGTAGATCTTTCATCTGCTAGAACTAAACGCAAAATTGCCTCATAATGGATGAGTGGGGAACAAGGTTGCCCCCACCGAAGCTGTCTTTCTTGCTCAGATAAAAAATGTGTTTTGGTCAATTCCCTCCCTGTGTGGCTTGCATACTACCTCCCTTTGGGAGGGGGGCTTTGCATCCACCCAGTTAGACCATCAAGCCTCCCATCACCTGACCTGGACCCAGTAGATGGTGGGCAAGAGGTGGGTTCATCAGGAAAAATCCCTACTCACTAGATGGCAAGTGACATCATGTAACATTGATCACTGCTCCACTGTAGCTCCAACTCTACTGCAACCCAAATATAATGGTGCTCTTGTGTGCTACAGGGGGCTGTGGCAGAGCTGAGCTGGGTATTCAATGGGTAGCATGCTAGACTTAGACTGATGTCACTTGTTATCAAGTGATCATTGGTTTTTCCTGGTGGTTAGGCACATGTCTGAGGATTTGCAAGCCAGCCTGCCAACCCTGCTAGACTTCCTAGCTTAACACAATCCCCTCGTTCCAGAGGGCCGGGGGCACCTTGCGAAGCGAGCCTCTGAAAGAGGGGCTTGCGAGTGAAGTTGAAACATCGGCCTGGAAGCTCAGGCTTTTTGTGGCTTTTTTTGGCCTTTGCACACAAAATCACCCATAACTCACAAGAAATCTGGATGATTTTGATGCCGTCAACTTCTTCAGATACCTGAGCTTCTTCCCATTCTGTCCATATAGTTTTTTGATAATTGTAGTGAGTATAAGTCATCCGTCCCTCGGATGCCAATTGGGGGACTTGGTCCAAAATAGAGATGGGCCCGGCGCATCCGGATATCCGTTCGGATTCGGATATCCGCTCACGTTTTCAGCCAAATCAGACATCCGCATCCGCATCCGCATCCTCTGGCGGATACCCGCTTGGCCTGGCGGGTATCCGCGCGGATACCCGCGGATATCCGCCCCAAAAATGACCCCCAGGCTGCAAAATGAAAGTTTCTTGGGGAAATTTCAGATGCAGAAAGCTGCATAAACACTGACTTTGAATTTCTTGCGGCCTTCAAGCCTTCAATTTATTTTTATTTTCTCATTTTTTTTCCTTTGCTGCTTGCAGCCTGTGACCCTCCAAAAAATATGGAAAATGGAAAAAATCATATTTCTTTTTGCTTTTGAATTTTTTTGTTGAGCAGTTGGCAAAGTGGTTTTAAGTTTTTGTTTTTTATTGATTGATTTATTTTTTCTTTTCTTTTATTTTATTTTATTTCATTTTATTTTTTCCTTTTGTTGCTCACAGCCTGTGACCCTCCCAAAAATATGGAAAAAATCTAATTCCTTTTTCCTTTGCCATATTTTTTTTGTTTGTTGCAGCCAACTCATGTAAATTTTTACTGGCTTAAATTTCATTATTTTTTGAAAATGGATGGTTATATCAACTTTGCATACAAATAAGTCTGGTATACGGCACAAATTATCATAATTTGTATAATTTAATTATGCAATAAATGGGGTACACTTTACCATCAAATTTCACACCTATTAAAGTAAGGGAAAAATAATGAAAATTAATTATTAATCTGTCAAAAATTAATTGAAAAATTGTGTCTCATTGCATTATTCAAAAAGAACCATTAATTTTTATGGAAAATGCTTTCTACCATTGAATTCTACGCACTTTAACACATAGGAAATAAATTTAAAAATTCAAAAAATAATAAAAAATAAGCAGTACAAAATTAATTCAAAAATGTGTCTGCTGCGCAGTGCGCGCGGCAAAAACCATGTTTTTTTGTTAAGGCCCCATTTTTTCTTTTGTTTTTCCTTTTTTCCATTTTTTCTTTTGTTTCTCACAGCCTGGGGCCCTCCCAAGGCCTCCTGTATGGGCGGATATCCCTTGGGATACCCGGATATCCGCCAGGATTTCAGGGGGAAGGGGGCATCCGCACCCAAATCCGCACCCGCTGGCGGGTATCCGTTGGCACTGGCGGGTATCCGCCAGCGGATAACGGATATCCGCAACGGATTATCCGCGACCATCTCTAGTCCAAAATACAGTGGTAATCTCTGGGAAGAAATGGGAATCTCTATGACCATAGTTGGGGCCCATCATGAAACTTCTGGCCAAACGGCATTTGTGGAACGCTGGTGATGGGGGCAGGTGAGGGCCCATGGCCCCAAGAGTTATACGGAAATGATCAGAAGAAGCTGGCCTCTCGAATGGTCAAACAGGCTGGTCAAATTTCCACTTGGAAGATGACACAAGTCTGCAAGCAAGAATTTCCCCACCTAAGAGCGTCTCCACCGCGGGCCCTATTTGCGGGGCCCTATATGCCTCCAATAGGGACCGAAAAAAATGGATAGCGACCGAGCCGGTTTTTTTTTTCCACCGCTAGCGGGTGTATCGGCCTTAAAAGTCGGTGAAAGCCGATCGGTCGGAGTTGTAGTGTGCTTGAGGATGTGTGAAACCTTCCAATGTCGGAAGGTTCACACAGGATGGGACCGATCAGCCGGGCCCTATCGAGTCTGTATATATACAGCTCGATAGGGACTTTTGACCCTGGTCCCTATTATAGGGCCCCACATAGGGGCCGCGGTGGCTGTGGTTTTGGGACGCGCGGGCCCTATATGTGGGATAGGGCCCCTACATAGGGCCCGCGGTGGAGATGCTCTAACTGATGCCAGCTTCCACACAAGAAAGCCGACTTTGTTCACAAGTCCCTCCTTCGGAGGCTCGCTCCGCGAGGGGCGCTTCACGCCAGCCTGGCACAGGCCCATCCGATTGAGGGGCTTGCGTTAAGTTAGCTAGACTTCTGGGGCAGGTTCAGACATCAGATTTGGGCCTGAACCCAGCCCAGTTGACGCCTGAATGCCATCCTTTTCTGGAATTGCTGTGATACAGCCAACCCAACAACGCTTGCAACTTTTGACAAAAAAATAATAAAAAGTTTGGCATGCAAAGAAAAACTTCTTGCCTTATGGGACAGTATGAAGGGTGGGAAAATCAGGACAACTCAACTGTTTGCTATCACACAGTGAGAGTTCCAACAGGCAGCCAACTGACATTTCAATTAATTTTTTTTTTGCTCAATCGAACTTTTTTTTTTTTTGTAAAAAGTTGCAAGCATTGTTGGGTAGGCTGTATCACTTCCAGCTGATAATTTCTCAAACACCATGCCTTCAGTTTAGGCTTGTGAATGTTGCACGTCTTCTTAAGTTCTATCTTCCCTGAGGGAGTAACTCATGGCTGTGCGTTAGCATTTCATGGTGCTACCAATGGTTGGTGATTTGTGTGCAACAGCTTGTGAGCAGACAGTGCGACACATGTATCCCGCCTGATCAGGACGCCAAGGATATTGAGACGAGTGGGAGCAGATCATAGCAGTTTGGATTACCAAATGAAACTGGCGACAAAAAAGCTCATGATTGAAACATTTTTAAAAGTGAAGAGACGAGACGAGAAGAATGGAAAGAGGGCTTGAGCCCGTCACAGGACCTGCGTATTTTTTGAGCTAACGAACATGAGGCTACACGTAGAAGAAATAGATTGAGCTATTTTATGGTCGCACTACATGGTAACGGGAATCGGATCCGATCACGATCTTGCCTTAAGGTGTCAGGCAATTCTGCGGTCTACCAAGCGCCACCGCCACCGCTGGGAGCATTGTAGCTGTTTTGCTGGTCGCCTCTCCAGTTCCCTTGGCCTTGGCCACCATTGCCGTAGCCTATGATAATTGCTCTTGATAAGCAGGGTGCAGGAAGAGACAGTTATTTGGGCTGCAGAGTATTGAAACACTTACCACCACCGCCACCACCGTAAGACTGGTGAGTGCTATTACCGCCATAGCCTCCTTGGTCACCACCGTAGCCTCCTCCGCCGTAACTGGAGTTGTATCCACCACCACCACCGCCTCCTGATTGTCCATAACCTGAAGTAAAACGTAAATCAGCACGCTGGATAAGTCGATCATGGGCCAGTTCACTTCACTCACCTCCGCGATATCCACCACCACCACCTGTGAAAGAGGAGGTCAAATGATGGGTCAGTTCAACAATAAAGGTGGAAGAAGCAAATCGAAAACGATGTACCTTGTCGTTGGCCACCGCCACCACCACCACCGGTTTGGGAGTTGGCATAGTTGACCTAATAAGCAGACAGATAGAAGGTTTAGATCAACCAAATCAGCAAGTGCAGTGCTGAACGACAACATCTGCATACCCGAATTTCTCGTCCGTCAAGCTCCTGACCATTCAGGGCTTCGATAGCTCCAGGAGCATCGGCCTCTTCTTTGAACTGCAAACGGGAGTGAGTAGGACGCCGCAGTAATCAGTAAACGAATTCAGATACAAAGTTGAAACGTGTATGGACAATCGGTTCTCTTAAACGGTAAGTTAGAGTTTTGAATACGCTACTCAAGTTCTGCCGCTATGAAAACGCGGCCAGGCAAGCCTCGGAAATAGCAAGGACACGCGATCACGGGCCCGATGAGGCAGAACAGGAGTGCCGACAGGTAAGGAGGATGCCTCCGAGGTACAAGCATCTTTCAGGCGAGCTGACATAGCGCTCTTGATGTAGGTCGGAAAGATAGCTAGTGACTCAAAGCCGAGTAGTTGATGAAGGAATGAGCATCGAAGGAGAAGGAAGCAATCTCACCGTGATAAAGCCAAAACCACGGCTACGGCCGGTTTCACGATCTTGCATGACTGTGTCGATATAGGTGCGAATATGTGTAGGATGGTCAGCCGGACAGGAACTAGCTCACCGATAGACGACGGACTATCTAGAGAACATACCGATTGCATCGACTGAGGTGAATAGGCACGATGGGGAATAAACAGACATCGAGTCAGTCTTAACCGAGTGATCGAGAGAAGCGATCGGACTTACTAACGTCACCAAACTGGCCGAATGCAGATTTCAGGGATCCGGAATCGGTCGTCCAGGCGAGATTGCCGACGAAAAGCTTACCACCAGCTGGAGCAGCGCTCATGGTGAACAGGAAGTGTGCAGGGGTTTTTGTGTTGGAGGAGAGGTGAAGGTTTTGAGCTTTTCTGATGTTTGTGTTGTTGTTGATGGTGAGGCTTGGGTTTTTCTGCTGGCAGAACTCCGAGTGAACGGAACTGATTACATACACAGCATGTGTTTAGCCCCCGATGTTGGGGCTTCGAGCTAGGAGGGGCTATCAAGAATTGCAACCAAAATTCGGACAAGGGAGCATTAAATGAACGACCAAAAAAAAGTCACATGAGATCATTCCAAGCAAGGTTCACATCAAAAATAAGAGATAACATGATGGTAGATATATACTGAAGTTCATTATTGATGATCAAATTTGAGGGCTTCAAAAAATATATGAGGAAACAATAATTGAATCTTTATAGGGTCTTAGTTAATAGCGGGGTTCACGATAAGCTTTTTGGCTTCTCGAACCCCTTAATTTTTTTGTTTTCACGCGCACATTTCTTGCTTTAAATTTTAGCTTAAAATTTTAACCTGCAAAGATTGCGCACTTCTCGCCTCTCACACCAACCACTCTCTACATAGCTTGACTTCTTGACTCTCATCACCCATAGCCATCAGATTTGTTTCCAACCTCACCAACACATCTCATCAGAGTCTCAAACCTAAACCTCTCCCATCACATCAAATATCAAAGCCCTACACTACAAGCAATACCCATTTTGCCCCAAAAATAAATGGCAATTTGGGTGGGGGAAAATGGATCAATTTCCTGGAAATTTTTTCCAAAATGCCTCAGGAGTAGAAATTAGGCTAAACCAAGCTATTTTAGCCCAGAGATAGAAATTCATCAAACATTCCAAAATGAATTTTTAGCTCATTTGAGACATTTTTATTTTTTGGCTAAAATAGCTCATTTTAGCCTAATTTTTTACTCCTGAGGCATCTTGTAAAAAAAGTGCCAGAAAATTGATCTATTTTCCACCTTCCAAGTTGCCATTTTTCCTTGGGGCGAAATCAGTATTGTTTGTAGTGCCTAGCATCAGTCATTTATGGTAAGTCTGGATTTTCTTCAACAAGCAAAGCATACATGACTTACTTAGCACTGTGGTGGTTTCAGATGAATCTAGATCCTACTTTGGCGACTCAATCATCTGACACCAAAATCCCTTTGACACCTCTGGCATCTCAAGGTTTGTCGACCGCTTCAAACAATTTGACTTCAGCCTCACAAAGAACGGGAAATGTAACGAGGAAAAGGTGTACTAAGCGTGAAATGGAGGAGTATCGAGCGGAATTGGCAAAGAAAAAGGAGGAGAAACAACTGGAGCAAGAGCAAGCTAGAGCCGAGAAAGGAAGAAAGAATTGGCAAGGCAGGGGGAGTCAAACTCCAGGCGGTGGTGGATCTCAAACATCAGATTCATCTCAATCTCAATCGCAATTGGACTCAAATGCTGCTTTTACAATTGAGGACTATGAACTCATTTGTTCATACCTGGGTGTTCCTGATAATTATTCAAAGCTTTACGGTAGCGGCAATCAAACAGATTTTGGACCTCGACCACTTACTAAGACTGTGGCATACGAGATGTTTGCAATCTACATGAATAGTAACTGCAACAAGCAATATAAGCTCACTGGTGCTCAGCTTTGACAATGAATAGATCGATACAGGAAGAAAGTTGCGGAAATCACCGGAGCAGGGATAGAGGAAGAGCATGGGATTTTGACGCTTCGGGACTTGCTCAATGAGAAGTGCCCATGCTACAAATGCATGGATGCGATTTTTGGTGCAAAGCCGAACGTGACTCCCTGCATGCAATACAACTCGGTAGATGGTTCAAATCTCTATGGCAGCTCTGACGGAAGCTCTCCAGAGGTTGTCCATTTGGGTTGGGAGGAATTTTGTCTAGGGGTGAGTTTTGACACTATTCGCAACATTAGTAATCTCGGCCTGAATTCTGACTGCTCCTTTTGTTTTTATACTTTAGTTGTTCGTGGGCTTCCACTTGTTAGTTGTTTGTGGGCTTCCACTTGTTAGTTATTTGCGGGCTTCCACTTGTTAGTTGTTTGCGGGCTTCCACTTGTTAGTTGTTTGCAGGCTTCCACTTGTTCAACTGCGATTGAACTGCAATTGGGTATTCTTTCCCTTTTTTGAATCCGTTTAGTAGGGGGTATCAAATATATGAAATCCACCATCAGAAACCAGTCACTTTTCCAAAAACTTTTTTTTGCATAAATGGGCCCCAAAAGGGGTTAAATGGATAACCAACATGTTTAAAAAAGGGTGGATTTTTTCAAACCAGTCAATTAAATAATGGTGGATTTGGTTATATTTGATACCCCCTAGTTTAACTTTTCTACTCCTTTGATCCCATTTTTTTTTCTCTCTTTTTTAAGTTAGATGATTTGATACAGTTTTAACTCCTTGGCCTCATTTCATTGCAATTGGCTTTTGTGATCCCTTTTTTTTGCCTGTTTTCAGTTTTTTTTTTAGTCTGATTTCTCACTCACTGCAGATAAAAGAAATAATTGATTGAATTAATCCAGAGTTGCATTGACAGAGGAATAGAGATGGCGCTCGATACCCGGGTACCTGTAGCGGGTGCGGGTACCTGCCTCAAAAATCCAATATTTTTGACACCCGCACCCGCACCTGCACCTGCTAGGGCCGCCAGGGGCGGGTACCCGGGTACCTGCACCGGGTACCTGCGGGTACCTGGCACATTTTTGCAGGCAAATATACCCAGAAATCTCACCCTTGAATTTCTGCATGACTTACCAAATGTATGATTGATATTCACTAGATATATGAGTAAGAACATAAAAATAAAGAAATAAAGAAGAACAAAATACCCTATCACTAATTTGCACTTTATCTTCTCTCTGATCTATCATCTTGAAAGACTAGAGAGTTCCCTCTGGCCTCAACAGGCCCATGTAGGACACCAAATGGTGTCCTACATAGTTTGCTGACACCTTTGTGCAGCCCAAAAAGCCCAAAACTGTATTCCCAGGGCGGGTGTCAGGGCGGGTGTCAAGGCGGGTACCCGGGTACCTGCCGTTTTTTGTCCCAAAACTCAACACCCGCACCCGCACCCAGCACCCGCGGGCGGGTACCCGCTCCGAAGAACAGGTACCTGCAAACGGGTACCGGGTACCCGCAAACGGGTACCCATTGCCATCTCTACAGAGGAACAGCTTATATCGAGAGAATCAAAAATGAGATACAAAGAAGGATATGACTCCTCAAGCGAACGAAAAAATCAAGCAAACTAAAAAATTCCTTAAATCGTTCCCTGCTTGCGATGGAACATGAGACATCTTTCTTGTACATGATTGCGAAACGCCTCAGCTCTCCTTTGACTACTATCAGAATCAGTCAGAGGCGCTACATTATCTTCTTTGCCTTTGTCGCCTTCGTCGCCTCCACTCGACCTGTGAACCACATCCCAAGTGTCGCCCAAGTTGGATAGCATGTTGTGTAAGGTGAAACAACAGCTAACCCAACGGATGATCTCCTTCATATGAGAATTCTTGTGCAAATGCAATTGAAGTTGCTGTAGCAATGCCCACCGTCCTTTCAGGATTCCGATCGTATGTTCATTCCTCACTCGCAATTTAGCCAGGCAATAATTGAAATTGGCATTGTCTCACTTGTTTGACGCCGGCAATTTGTATGCTGGTATAGTCGTGCAGGACAAACCATACACTGAGTCCGCTATGAGATACTGACCTTTTGAGGATAAAAACAATCAGCCATATGAAACACAAAGAATTAATAAACAAAAGACATACCAGCATCAAAGTATTCCCAAGCTTGAACGTGAAGAGTTGTGTTACGGAACACCCAACTGTCACCACATGAGCCTGGCCAGCCTACCGTGAATGAGGTGATGTACCTATCACAATCACACACTACTTGGCAGTTGACCGAGTATTTTTTTCTGATCCCAGTAAACCTCTCTGTCGAGTCCCGGGCGCTGGTGCAGAGGTATAGTTGTTCCATCCACAAATCTGACACATCCAGCCAAGCCTTCCTCCTTCATCACTTCTGAGATTTTGCCTCTTTGATGTCAATCGGGCCACACTACATGTTTCAACGATAGGCTATTAATTGTCTCAATCACTCATTGACTGACTTTGATCACAGTTCCCTGCCCGACAGTAAGATTACACAAAAATCTCCCAACCAAGGCACCATTGCCATTCAAACCAAGTCTCTCTAGTGTCAGTGCCAGTTGGTGAGGGATCGGAAGCTGAGGCCAATGACTCTGACTATGGAAAACCGGGTGGAGAGAAATCTGGTCAAGTAACCACAAAAAGGCCTCCTTTGTGGTCCTAACCGACTGCTTGAAGTCCTCGGCACACAAATTGAAGAGTCTATCCAAGTCAAAACTACCGTGAGTTGTCGGTGCTGAACAATCGTTTAAATAGCGGCAGGATAGGATCGCCTGTAGTAGAGCCTCCAGCCACGCCTCATCGCCTAAGAATCTATCGCAAGCAACCTGAAGATTTGGGTAGTTTGGGAATAAGATAGACCCAAAAGAAGGTTGGTGTTGGATGTTCAGTACTTGATCAAGATGGTTATCCGTATCTTCAAGGTCCAGGAAAACTAGGATCAAAAAAATGTCCTTGATAAGCTGTTGACGTTTGCTGGCCTGGCGCATGACTGACTCCAACGAAGGTGTTTCCAATGAGGGGGGATTTCTTGCGCGAGAAATCTCGTTTGGAATTTTAGGCTTTAATTTAAGACCGCAGGACATGCTGCGGATTCTTTCAGGGACAAAATGACTTTCTTGTGAGAACTTATCGTGGAAAAGTGAACATGTGAACAAAAGGAATATTGGAAATGAAAGTTGACAATGTGACAGACAAGGATGAGCACTTCAATGGTGAGAAAAGAAAGTAGTATGAGAAAATGATGTTCAAGGTTCAAGCTAAATATGTAGTACTATGTAGAATATGAAATGTAGCTGAAAAGAGTGATTCTACATAAGTATGTAACATATTAAATATAGCAGAAAAGAATGATTGAGCTTAAGAGGAGAAATGTAACATATAAAATGTAGCTGAAAGGAGTGATACTGCATAAAAGACTGTGAAAGAAGGATATGTAATGTAAATGTACAGTGGGTGGACTCAACGCTGCAACAAATATGGTATTTGCAATGTATTGGCATGTATCTTTCATGTATCATGGTCTTGATGTAATTTTTTTCATGACCAATGTGGTTCTATTGAGAGTCTTATTCATTTAATATGGCTCTTTGCCATATATGTTGGTACAATTCCTCATGATACAAACTGTGTATTGTATTTGTTGCAGCCTTGGTGGACTGTTGTTTTTGGCTGCTTGTTTTGGATCCCAGAGCTTCAAAGCACCAGATTAAAGTCATGAGACCTGGTCAAGTGGTGCAGAATAGGTCACAAAAAATGAATATGAAAAATTAAAAACAAAAAACAAAGTTTCAAATTTTATGAAAAATAAAAAATAAAATTGATTTTTTTCAAAAGCTTTGATATTCATTTTGGGGATGTGTGAATGCAGAGAGAAAGAAAGAATGGAAAGTGGGAAGAATGATTATAATAGAAAATTTGTTTTAACCAGTTGTTGAGTGGGGCATCCACCAGCTCACATTGCAGTAAAGCACTAGAATTTACTAACTTGTACCAAGTCCCGCGCTTCTGCGGGCCTGGTGACCTGGGCTGGCTGGCGCCACTCGCGAAGCGAGCCTCCGAAGGAGGGACTTATGACAAATACGCACAAGCTCGCGTGTCGCTATCGACATGTTTTGGTGTAGGGAATTTTGGATTGCCCACCATGCATGTACTTTGGGGTTGTTTGAGGGCAGAGTCAGCATGGTCAAAGTTGACCATGTTGCGGTTCTCCTCATCCAATTTTTAGATATTTTGTATGAAAACCTGACGAGTAAGATATTTTTGAAAAATATGAAATATTGAAATAAATCAGAATTTAAGTTGAGCTCCGAGCCTTGAGAAGCTATTACATAAGCAAAAAACACAAATTTGAGCGGATTCTTGGACCTTTACAAAGTTTCCCTAGAATGTAGTTGTACATGTTTCTGAGTAATTTCTTGATGAAAATTTACTTTAGCATCTGGGATACATTGTGCCAGTTTTTTCCTCTATTAAAGTTAAGAAAGCAATTTATTAGAATTTTTTGCACAAAAAACCCTCTCAAAACTGGAAAGCGACACGCGGGCGTGTTCGTTTTTGGCACAAGCCTCTCCCGCACTTCGTGCGTTTGACGGAGAGGCTGGGCAAGCTAGTAGAATTTACTGTTTTGACCCCAATCTGGACAACCAACCTGGCTCAACCTTTTTTTGTTCCAATTTTTTTCATTTACAATCATTCATGCCATGTTCCACTCTTTGTTTCTCTCAGCACTCCCACTCCCCCAAAATGAATAATAAAGCTTTTGGATAAAACATTTTTATTTTTTATTTTTCACAAAATTTAAAGGGCATTAATAAAAAAACCCGCATTTTCCGTGTTTTGACGCGCTTTTGCTGCGCGCAGCACACGCGCATTCCGTGTTTAAACGCGCATTTATTAATTAATTTCGAGTTTTTTGGATTTTTTAAGGTTGTTTCCTACACTTTAAAAGGTGTAGAATTTAATGGTAAAACCCATTTTCCATAAAAATGAATTTTGATTATAAATTATTTTTTTTCACTCATTTTTTCCGTTAATTGTTTGCTTTAAGTTTTTTACCTCATTTTTCAAGATTTTGTGTAACTTTAAAGTTGTTTCCTACATTATTAAGTGTGTAGAAATTTATGGTGAAATCCAATTTTCATAAAAATGAATGGATCATTTTTAATAATGCAACTACACCCATTTTTTCACTTAAATTTTTAGACCTCAATTTTCATTCTTTTTTCACATTTTAAACTTTTTTCCTACACTTTCAGACATGTAGAAATTTATGGTAAAAATTATTTTGATTCAAAGTGAGAACTACATCTTGTATACTGCATTTGACACCGTTTTTTTATTTAATTCTTCAGTTTTTCACTCAATTGTTTGCATTAATCTTTTTACCTATTTTTTATGCTTTTTAGAAATTTGAAAGTTGTTTCCTACATTTCAAAGTGTTTAGAATTCAATGAGAACATTCAATTTCCATAAAACTCAACGGTTCATTCAGAATACTGTAATTGGTCTGAAAATTCAATTGATTTTTAAGAGCTTAATTTTCATTATTTTTTGACATTCTAAATTTGTTTCCCACACTTTGAGACATGTATAGAATTATGGTATAAATCAATTTGCATCAAAATGAAAACTGTACCTTGAATAAAGCCTTTGTCATGTTTCTTTAATTAATTCTTACACGCTTAATTATCCTTATTTTATGGAATTTTAAGTTCATTTCCTACACTTTGAAAGGTTTTCAAATTGTTGGCTGTATCCATTTTGCATTCAAATAAAGTTTGTATACAGAAAAAATTATGCAAGAAATGGTGTACACTCTTATATTAAGA